ATGTTGGGCTCTGTGCAGGGCATGGAGCCTACTTAAGAGAGAGAAATCTACAAGCCTCTAATATTTACACACATGGTTTCTGTGCTTTGATAACTGAATTCAACTGTGGTACTTACAGGAAAGAAATGTATTCTGACAAACATTTTTTAAAAGACAAGATTTGCCAAAACAGTGTGCTCTAAAAATAAATCAATGTAATGACTGATCTAGCCAAGAATTAATGACCCATTCACCAAAGTCATCATGATAATGCTCAATTTAAAGATAGCCTTTCAACCTGTTCACCCAGCCTCCTTGCTGAACTGAAGTCATGGAAATTGTCTTCCATTTTTTCATTTACACTCTTCTTCAAACTGATCACTTAAACACTGTTTATTCTGCTACCTAAAAATGTATTTAATCCATCACATTTTATCCTCCTTGTTGTTATCTTAGTTTGTGTGTCCATCAGCACTCATTTGGATTGCTACAGTGATTTTCCAACTAGTCTCCTAGCTTCTGGTCTTACGGTCTTCCAGTCCTCCACCAACATAAAATCTACTCCAGTCTTTTCCCACCTAAAATCTTGCCATGCCTTGCCATCACTTACAGGATAAAGTCAGTCCTTGGCATGATGTACGTGGCCATTCACCATCTGGCCCTTGTCTGCCTCTCCATATTGATCTCCTGCAACAACTGTACCTCCTTATACCAGTACAGTTAGTTGAAATTCCTGGAACACACCCTGCTCTGAACAATTCCCTCTGTTAATCCCCACTCCTAGGCCGGCAGCTTCTTTGCATCCTTCACACCTCAATTTGTAAATCACTTCCTTTCTGGTAGTCTCATTCCACCAGATCATCCCTGTACTTTGTACATAGCTCTGTGATGCCATATGTTATCCCCCTGTAACTTGTGAGAGATGCTCCTCTACCTAAAAATAAGGGTCGCATTTAATTAATGGAAAATTGGGGCACCTCGGTGGCTCAGTCAGTGAAGTGGCCAACTTTGGCTTAAGTCATGGTCTCACAGTCTGTAAGTTTGAGCCCTCCATCGGGCTCTGTGCTGACAGCTCAGAGCCTGGAGCCTGTTTCAGATTCTGTGTATGTGTGTCTCTCTCTCTGCCCCTCCTCTGCTCTCACTCAGTCTGTCTGTCTGTCTCTCTCAAAAATAAACATTTTTTAAACGTTTTTTAAAAATTAATGGAAAATTGAGGAAATCATCCCATCACTCTGTCTCTAGAGTCTCTCTGGTCAGAGAGTATAGCCCTTCAAAGAGTAAGATGGCCTTCAAAGAATTGTTACTTAGAGTGTAGGGAGGACTTAAATACACTGAGGAGGCTGCTTCAGAGCCCAGTCCATTGACTCTGCCGCTAACACAGTTTGATGTCACATGCTTTTTTGAGTAAGCATCTTTGACAGATTGAAAAGAGCACCCCAGACAAAATATATGAGACACTACCTGGAGAGAAAGACCCACGGGGCCAAATAAACTTGCCAATGATGTGTTATTTTGCTGAAGCAGCAGCTTTTCTCTTCATGAGCCTATGATTTTCTCTGGCCTATGCATGTCTTATTGAAGATTAAGGATATCTGGAATGTACAAAAGAAGAACAATTGATAATAGACTTTGGGGGTATAGAAAGAGTGCATATGATCTCTCATGTTACACCCAAATCCTACCTCAGCTCCCAAGTCTGTGGGGTTTGGGATTGGTTACTGATCCCTAATCTCTAGAAGTGTTTTAATCCAAAAAAAATCTAAAAGAAAAAAAAAAGAAATCTGGCTTTAAATGCAGCTTAACTTTTTCTTCATCTTCAAATATTGTTGATTGTGTTACTGGTTTCCTGTTTGTTTTGAGTATTTCCCCCTTTGTGTGCCCTCATGAAGAATCCTGGCATCTATACTTTTTCCAACAGGAGTGGTTTTCTGATTGAAGTGGGCCAATAGTGCCCAGGTCTAAGACATTCAAAGAATTCAGAAAAGAATGTAAGCAATGGGCTTAGCTACACATTTAGACATATAGTCAGAGGATTATAAATCCAACCCAAAGCTGCATAGAACCGTAGAGTTGTCGGTTGCTTCTATAGGGACTATATGAGAAAATCAAAGGTTGGGGGTTTAGCATAATGGGAAGAGTGTGAACTCTGGGGCAAGGCAGGCCTGGGTATGAGTCCCACATTCTAGTTGTTTGGCTTCAGACATGTTGTGTAACTCCACTAAGACCTAATTTTCTCTGTAAAATGGGGTTAATAGAAACCTTCCTTATGGAATTGTTAGCATTAGAGATAATACTGGTAGAATGCTTTGAACATAGTAGTTTCTTAGGAAATGGTGGTTATGATTTTGGCTTTGTGTTGAGAGTGATGTGATGGACTCTCACATCCTACCCAGTCCCCCTGGGAGTGCTACTGGCAGTGGTCCACATCCAGTAACTGCTCAAGGGAGGGGTATAAAAGCCTGGCTATTTTGGTTCAACTTGAAATAACTCTGAAGGACTAACCTAACTCCAGAGTTTCCCATGGTTCAGCCAGGTCAACATGAGGCCTGCATCACAGCTCATCTTCTCCCTCTGCATAATCCAGCCCTCCTCCACTCCTTTCCATGGGCATTGATCCCAAGATCTTAAAAATGTCCTGTATGTTAAACTTTATTCCAGAGTCTCTACTTCCCAAGGAATCTGACCTGTGACAAGTGATGAGACAGGTACCCGGTCCTGTGTTATTAATTACCCATTGGTCAAATGTGCAGAAGCTCAAAGAAGATCCTGTGGCACCTTAACCAGGTGTCAAAAAATATTTTCGAAAGACAGGAAAAGGGTCAGAAAAACTGTAAGGGAATGAGGAAATCCCTAGAGACATGTGGAATTTGCCATAGGAAGGCATTTGATAATTTCCAGAGGTTAAAAATGCCCTCTTATTCCATGTGAGCCCAGGAGCATGTAAATGCTGTTTTCCAACATCAACTCCCTAAAAAGAACTTGGCTATGACATTCACATCAATATAATTAAGCAGATGTAGTGATTAGTCTTTCTTCAGTATTGAACTTTTAATTCCCTTTCCAATGGCAAATACCCAGCTAGAGACCTTCCTGGAAGCAGACCCATGTTTTTCTTTCTAATGACTGTTGGGGGGGGAGGCCTAAACAGTTACTTTGGAGCTGTGCTGTACTATAGGCACTTTTCTGGTGCCTAGTGGCATTTAGATTGGGAGTTCCTTGGCCCACTCAGGTTCAGCCTATGGAGTTAGAATCAGAAAACTAGACAGAAGGTAATATCTGGAAGGCCAATCCTGCAAAATATTTCTAGGGTTAAGTGAGACTCTATTTTGAACAGGGACTCCATCTCCAGCAACAGTCTCACCCCAAAATGATCCTTCTCTGTTCTTTCCTACCCAGATCTTAGTGGGTATTAGGGGTTGACCCAGGAGGGAGGAGCTCTTAGCCTGGTTGTATCATGTAGTAGTTAACCAACAAATATTTCCTGAGGATCATATACAAGGCACTGACCTGTGCACCGTGAGTGCTAACACTGGATCCCACATGTCCATCTTTCCTGGTAACAGAGAGGAATGTGGACCCAAAGATGGGAGGGGCAGCAGTCGGACAGCTCAGCAGTACAGGGAGTGAATGCCGTGAGATTAGAGGAAAGAAGATGGCTTTGTCCAAGTTACTTTTTCATGTCTCTAAACCTCTTACCTCTGGAAACCTGAGAATGCTCCAGCAGTGCCTGGCCCAGGGGAAGCCCTTGATAGATATATATTGAATGTAGTGTTTGTCCTGATGGCTTGTCATCCATTGTTTGGCCTTCAAATTACACAGTTATTCACAGTTATTATTCAACTTGCAGCAGATGTGCAAGATTTTTTCAGTAGTAACATCTCAACCAGTGTTGCTGTGCAGCCCTTAAGGGACTTTTTGTCTAAATATTGGTAGCCTAGCTGTGCAGAGGCACAGAGATGACAGGGAGGTGCCAGAGGCCCCGGGGGTGCCGCTGGGCCCAAGGCTCCTGCCTCTCCTGACCTCACCCCTACTCTTCAGGCCAAAACACTGCTGGAGGAGCAGTAACACACTTCCAGAAGCCTTGCCTCCTCTGTTTGTTTTCTCTATCACACTGCAAGGCCTGGACCATGGTTTTACCTGATACCCTGGGGATCCGGTCAAACCTTCGTGCATGTTAATAGATACATGTCCAAGCCCAAGAATTACTTATAGACCAAGAGGTACCTGTTCCTGTTCAGTCACTGAAGTACTGCATCTGGGAGAACCCTCAGGAAACTAAGTTCATGGACCCAAGGTCACTCACCTCAAAGCACACCCATAGCTTTTACATAGACCAGGTTCAGAGGCTCTGCTTCTGGGTGAACTTAGGACAGTGCAGGATGAGGTTGGAAGGGACACTTTGTCAGGCCCTTCCCATCTCTGCCATTTCCTGTCCCTCTATGGACAGTTGAAGAGTTAATCTTACATGCAGGGCTGTGCAAATAAAATAAGCCAGCCAGTCACCCCTAAAGCCTTTGCATGTAGAAATTCAGGGGCCCCACTGTCTCTTTGGTTGTAGTCTAGGAAACAGTGGGCCTGGAGAAGAGAGGGAGATCTCAGGATCCATTCGGAGAAGATTAGGCAACAGCCCTCACTGTGTGAGGCCATAGCTGTGCACTGGATGATCTAATCGGATTTTCCCATCGCTCACAGTGGAAAATAAAATGACCAGACTCATAGCAAGATAATAGTTTCACACAATGGCCTTCATTGTCTCAGACCTGCTTGAGGCAGTTTCTGGAATTGAATGAATTCTGTTTAGTTACTGTTTCGATTTACTTTGAGCAACAGCCTTGAGTTTTTTAAATTAATTAAACTAGTGATAAATGTGTTAAACCTCTACCTTCTAGAGCTACATGATTAGCCTTTTTTGTTAAACTTTTTTTTATCCCCATTTAAGAGAAGATGGACCTGGAGTGTGATTACTCTGGCCAACTAATAACAGAATCAGAGACTCGGGGCACATAAGGAGACATGGGATTATTTACACAGAGGGAAACGGAGGGTCAGAGAGAGAAATGACTTGCCCAAGAATTTGCCTCTCTTTTCTCGCATCACTTCCCTCCTGCCCCAAACTCCCTGATCAATGCTGAACACAGAAGACTTGCCTCCTTGGCATGGAATAGCATCTTCAGGGCACATATTCTATACCCACTCAGTTCCTCACCCATGATGGAGGGCCAGCTGGATCCTCTCCTGGGAGAAAGGAAGGTTGGTTATGGCAGCCGAAATGAGAGTCTGACTGGGAAACCAGAGGAGTACAGGTACAGAGGGAAGGCAGCAGCATAGGTCTGGGGCAGCTCCCAGCCCACCTCCTAGACAGAGACTCTAGAAGCCAGGAGACAAAATGTTCTGAAACAGACTCCCTGCCAATGACAGTAGGGAAGGGGCTTATTCTCTGAATTAGGTTTGAGGATAACTGCCAGCTTTACTTTGCAATGATCTAGTTCATGACAAAAGTGCAGTGAGTTTTGAGCTATTTAGCCATTGAAAGTACATGGTAATTGGGGACTTGAACTTTGCAGCCAGAATTCGGCAGCTGCCTACTGCCACGAAAGGCAAATTTTGAAAACCTGGCGAGAAGGAGCCAAGTTCTCTGTAGCATGTAACTTGGAAGCCTAATGCTCTGAAGTTGCTACTCTTGGTATGTGACTCCATGAGGGCTGAACACAGGTGTGAACTGGGCTGCCAGAGTTGGGTCATGGTAGAGTTCAAATTATCACCTTCTCTTCCCTCATCCCTGCAGTCTTTGCTCCTAGAGCTGTTTGGGACCAATGTGTAGATGCTGGAGAAGGGTTGATCTTGTCCACTGATCCCCAACCCACAGCAGAACAGACGTCACCTGGGAACGTGTTAGAAATGTACATTATCAGGCTGTACCCCAGACTAGTGGAACCAGAAACTCTAGAAGAGTGGCCCAGCATTATGTTTTGACAACCCTCTGGGTGATCCTGATGCAGGTGCAGGTTTGAGAACTGCTGGTTTAGAGCATGGTATGGCTCTGAATTTGTTGTTTATTAAGGAAACTCTGCTTTCACATGAGCTAGCCATCTGCCTCCTACCTTGCCCCCTCATCCCCCTCTGCCATAGGGACAGCCTCTGTTGGGAGATTTGGGGTTTGTTGTGTTGCTTTCCCAGCCCTCAGCACTTGTACAGTAAACCATCTTTTCACCATCTGTTTGGCCCCTGGCCCCAGCTGTCTCCCTCCTGCCCCCAGGACTCCCAGTTGTGTTGTTCCAGTGAGGTTGTTTCCACTCGGTGCTGGGAGGGGAGGCACTCCTAGATGCGGCTCTGTGCCATCAGTGGGACCACAGACCAAGAGTTAAGCCCTGGAACCCCACCTTAGAGTTCTCACTGCCACAAGGAGCGACCTTTCAAGGGAGGCCCTGGCTGTCCTTCTCAGGAGAGGCGTCAACCTGCCCTGTCTGTCCTGGCTAGAAAAGCCAGCGGCTAGGAGTGGCTAAGTGAGCTCTGGGGAACTTATCCATCCCTCCTGCTTTACATGCCAACAGATGGGGTAGTCACCTGAGGATTCCAAGGGGAAGAGTCTGACATAGTGGTTAGCTCGCCTAGCTTTAGTGCCAGAGAGAACCAGTTATGGTTTTTTTTCCTTTTTTTGAGAGAGATGGGGGCTCTGGGTTAATTTAATGAAATATATTTTGCCAAATGCTTTCTCTTTTTGTTCTAATTAATGGCCAGACATTAAAAAGTACAGTGGCTCTTAGAATTGTGTCATATCTTGGGGCACCTGGGTGGCTCAGTCAGTTAAGCTCTCGATTTTGGCTCAGGTCATGATCTCACAGTTCGTGGGTTCCAGCCCCGTGTCGGGCTCTGTGCTGACAGCTAGCTCAGAGCCTGGAGCCTGCTTTGAATTCTGTGTCTCCCCCTCTCTCTGGCCCTCCCCTGTTCATGGTCTCTCTCTCAGAAATAAATAAAACATTAAAAAATTAAAACATTAAAAAAAATTGTGTCATATCTCATTGCCCACCTCTCTCAGGTCCTCCTTTCCAAGTGTGAGGAGCATGTCAACAGCATGACCTAAGAAGCTCTGCCTTTGTCTCCATGGCACTGAGTAGAAACTGCCAGGCCCCTGGGGGATTTGGGTTGATGGCATATATTTGATATTTTCTACTCTTCTTCTGACCTAGTCTTGGGAAAATAGCCTTGGGGTATGAAGAAAATGCAAATCTGTGCTTTCAGAGTCCTCTGGGGCAGATTTACAAAATGGTGGCCATCCTTATAAGCTAGGGGACACTGCACAGGTGGGTGTATATCCAGAGCCCACCTGAACGTTCTTGTCCAAGGAAGACTGGCTTCTGTTCTGTGAGCGCTGTGTCATTGCTGAGGCCTTGTCACATTCAAGCCCTTTCAGCCTAAAGAAAGGAGAGGTCACAGGAAGCAGAGAACTTTGGTAGGAAAAATACACAGGGCTTTTATGTAAATCATGTCTCGTGTTGTAAGCCTCCCAATAATCCTTTGAGAGATGTAGTATTAACCTTGTTTTACAAATAAAGAAACAAAAGTTGACAGATCAGGGGACAGGTCACAAGCTGAGAAGTGGCAGAGCAGAGCCTTGACTCCAAGCCTAGTGTTTATCCCCAGAGCCCTTCCCCTCTCTGCTCCCTTTGACTCCATCTCAACTTCTAGGGAACATGAGTGACCCAGTAGGGTAGCTGAAAAGGAGACTGCACCAAGACTCAGAAATCATGGCCTCTTTCATTTATGGACTCCATCCAGCTCAGAATCCATCATGTTTGTTGGTATAGGCAAATAAACAGTTTTCTGCTGAGAGGGAGGGGAATTGAAGGAATCACTACAGGGTTAGGAGAATCAGTTTAGATTGCTGAGCTTGCCATGTTTCTCCTGACCCTGGCCACACAGGCCACTCCCAACAACCCCAGAGATGCCCACATTTGCCAAACAGCATGTGCATTTGTCCTTTCCAAAAGAGCAGTGGGGACATAATAAAGTGAGTTGTTAAACTGTTTCTAGGGTTGGGGGCAAGGAGGGGTCTGTTCGCCCCAAAATGCTGGGCTTTCTTTATAAGTTATCTGAAGCAATGTTTTATGAGAGGCATAGTTGTATGAGGGTATGTGTGGGTGTAAGAGAGAAGTACAAACTACAAAAATACAATATACTGAGCTTTTTTCTAACAAGCCTGGCTGAGTTTTCAGTAATTCTGCAGCTGTGACATGACTTAGTCCACTGAGATATTCAGCACTGGCTGGAAAAATACAACCAAAATTTATTCAATCGATAGCAAAAAAACAGTGATTCTTCTAAGAGTCACATTCCTGTAAGATTGGCCTCACTATGGGAAAGATAGACAAATTCACTTTTTTTTCAGACCCAGCTCAGAGTTTTTTCCTTTCCAGGAACTTCACAGGGCACCAGGAACCCACAGAGACATGAGGATGCCTAGACTCTTGAAGCATCATCATTGATATCTCAATAAGTCTAGCCCTCTCATTAGCCCTGCCCTTACAAACTGTCCAACAGCAGGTTTAAAGGTTCTGCTCAGAGGGTCTTAATTGATCTTGTTGAGTCTGGTTTGGCCATCTGTGCTGACAGAGTCACTCCCATGACATTTGCTTGCACACAGTGACCTCCATCCTCCAGATTGAATATGTTTTCCCCACCCCATGTGCATATCCTCTGCCTACTCTACCATGTGGTGATGAGTGAAGCTAGTTCTCTGACCCGAGCAAGGACTGCCAACAGAAGACCCCGAGGCACCATGCATGGCATCTGAACCTACAGATATCTATTGGCATCATAAAAATCACCCTGAGTCCCTCAATTTGCATGTAGAATGTGGGGGAGGTGGCGTTGGGGCAGCAAGTTTATTAAGAATTTTTATTAAGAATGTTTATTAAGAATTAAGTGAGGCCACTGGCTGGAGAAGTCAGGGTGAGCACTTGTTCTCTCCTTCTGAACTCTGATTTTCCCCCACTTGGGGTCTGGCCTCTCCCCCAGGGGCCACATGGCCGCTTGCTTCCCCGGGCCACATGGCTCCTGACACTACTGTCGGGATGCTTCCTGCCACCATGGGCCCCATCCTTGCCAGCCTAACTCCTGAGTTTTGAAGTCTGTGTCCTCTGAGAGGAAGGAGCTGAGAGCACACGGGGTGGGGCTCACCTCTGGCTCTGCTGCACTGGGAACAACCTGCTGCAAAGACGGTATGGCAGCATTTCTCCCTGGAATGAGCTCCTCCATCTTCTCCCAGAGTGAGCTTGGCTGCTTTTCTAACTGCAGCCTCAGCAGTTCCTGCACAGATTTGTTGGTTTATGGCTAAGCAAGAAAAGTGGGCTCCAGAGCCAGGAGCTCAGCAGGGGTTTCTTCCCTTCAAAGAAAATGTAAATTAGAGTGGAAGATGCTGAGGTTAAGAAATCTGGGGCCCTGCTGTTAGCATTTGCACCCTTTATCCTCCACCTCTGAAAGCTGGACTCAGTGTATTGTGTGAACACAAGGGTAGGACCGTACCCCAGTAATTGATTCACGCTTTTTGGCTCAGTTTATTCATGCCTGGCCCTCAGAAGATGAGCTAATGTGGCTGTTCCTCTGTGATTTTAAAGTGCAGTACACATCATCTGCCCCTGAACCTGGCAGACCCTGACACACGTCTTCAGAGGACACTAATAAAGAAAGGCTTTCTTTGGCTTACAAGAAATTTAAATATAAAGTTAAGGTAGAAGAGAGGCTGCAATGCCATCCCATCCCTGCTGCCTCATCCTTCCCGGTCACATCCCCAAAGACCAAGTGCAGCTGTTATCCACTCCTCTAGTGACCCCTTTCCTTGATGCAGCCTCTCAACACCCCTGGGCTCTTGTGATTTGGGGTCTCAGGTGCCCACTGCCTACTCCCCTCCACCTCACCTCTGCCTTCTCTACAGGCCCATGAAACCACGGCAACTTTTCTTTAATGGCACATGGTCCAGGATCTGAGAAAGTTACAATCACTCTTGTCCTCTTCAAGACTTACGTAGCTCACACTTAAAATCTGCCTGCCTTACAAGTAGGCTGATTCAATGAGGTGAGGCCTAATGAGTGGGGGAGTTTCTACATGTTAAACCCTCTGATGAAGATGCACTGTGCCAGAGTGCCTGGGATTGACCCCATGATGGCTTAAAATAAAGCTGCTCTTGGGGTGCCTGGGTGGCTCAGTTAGTTGAGTGTCTGACTCTTGATTTCTGCTCAGGTCATAGTCCCAGGGTTGTGGGATCAAGTCCCACATTGGGCTCCACAGAGTATAGAGCCTGCTTGCCATTCTCTCTCTCTCTCTCTCTCTCTCTCTCTCTCTCTCTCTCTCTCCCCCTCCCTCACCCCTGCTCATGTGCTCATGCATTCTCTCTCTCAAATAAATTTTAAAAGTGAAAAAAATTTTAATAAAAAATAAAGCTGCTCTCCTTTCCAAAGTTATTGTTTATGAGTCAGGAAAGGCAGTTAACCTTGAATAGTTTAAGTCACTGGCCCACACTTGCCTACTGCATGCTGCCTCAGTCTCTTCCCTAAAGAATGGAAAATGAGAGCCAGGCTCTCCAGGGAGGAGCAAGAATATGAATTCTCCCAATCTCAGAGTTGCAGAATGATTCTAAGGGGTTCATCAATCATTCCACACGCCATACAGAGAGCATAAATGGGTTGCATGTATATGCGCTATTATTTTCAAATACTGCTAGTAGTATTTTCAAATAAGTACTATTGTGGTTTACAAAATATAAATTTATTTTTTAAATGGATACTGAGTAAGTTATTTTGACCCAGTAATATCTTTGGAAAGAGAATAACCTCAGAGGTTTAGTGGGATTTGGGTGCTCTGCCTCAGCTCACATGTCCTGAAGATAAACGTCCTCAGGCTTGGAGCCCTGACTTTGTGACTAAACAGTAATCACCTGTCAACATAAGGGCCTGTTTCTCCAGTGTAATCAATGGCACAATGTTCAACACACAACACACAGTTTAGCTTGTAGCATCAAGGCCACTGCAGGCAAAGGGAAAAGAAGACAGAACTCACTGGACTTTGCCATCCTGCCAAAAGGGAGGACTTGGCTGCCACAGAATATTCCAGAAAGCCCCAGACCTAGTGCAGGGTGATCAAAGAGAGAGCATCCTAGGAAACAGCTGGCTGGCGCCTGAAAGTACAAAGTACAAGTCCAGAAAGTTTAAAATTCCTAAACTTGCCCCTGCCCAGTGGCCTATTGTAGGGAGTTCACCATGGTGGTTCAGCTGAATGTGACTCTCTACCCAAAGACCACCTCAGGCCACTCTGCCAACCACTGGCATGAGTGCTCCAAGACAGGGGCAGGTTGCAACCCTCTATGAAAGATGCCTCCACAGTGCTCTGAGTTGATTCTGCCTTTGTGTTTCTGTTGGGAATTTAACTTCATGGAATTCTGTCATAACAAGGAACTCTGTTCCATTCCCCTAACCTCCTACCCTCCAACATTGGAAAAACAGCAAAGGAAGATACTTATCTTCATTAGTCTTCATAAGAGCTTTGTAGCTCAAACCCATGCATCTACCACAGGTTAATGGTAACCTGAAGGAACTCTGACTTCATGGCAGGGAGCAGGGGTCTCACCAAGTACTGGAAAATAACAAGAACAAGATCCTTTTCTCTGGATATAAGGGAGGTATACTGGGATGTTTTTTCATAATTATCTGATGAGAAAAGCTATTCTTGCTTTTTTTTTTCCTGTTAAGTGGGAGAACTCTGAGTTTGGATCTACTAAATTTAAAGTTCTTTCCAGCTAAGATCCCTACCAGTTTATTCAAGCTGCCAACTCATGAGAACAAGTTGTTTTTATGAAAGACATGCTTCGCATTAAAAGTTCTTGTGATCTGGGGCACCTGGGTGGCTCAGTTGGTTGAATGCCTGACTCTTGATTTTGGCTCAGGTCATGATCCAAGGATCATGGGATCGAGCGCTGTATCATGCTCTGTGCTGAGCATGGAGCCCACTTGGGATTCTCTTCTCTTCTCTTCTCTTCTCTTCTCTTCTCTTCTCTTCTCTTCTCTTCTCTTCTCTTCTCTTCTCTTTTTTCTTCTCTTCCTCTCTCTACCTCCCACCCTCCCCCCTGCTTGCACATACCCTCTCTCCAAAAAAATAACAATAAAATACTTTATAAAAAAATATTTAAAAGTTCTTGTGATTTATATCACACAAGCACATTTTCCCCATGGCTGCCCCAGGCTCCTGCCAATATGGTTGTTGTATGGATGGAAGTGAACTCCTTCAGCCACTAAAACTTACCTGAGCTGATCACCATGAAGTAGGCATTTAGTGCAAAGCAAAATTTGTGGAGAAAAATATTCACAATATGCAACTGTTTTTAATATCCCCTTTCAGTTGCTCTGGGAGAGATAATAGTACAGGACATGATGCTTGGGAAAAAGTTAAACATATTTCCTCTCCTCCCAGAAGAACCTTAGGAAGGAGTTTAAGTTCTTCCACACTCTGGGGTGTTAGTGAGGAAATTGTTGGCAGCCCTTGCCCCAAAAGACAGTTGTTGATGGAGTCTTTGAAAAGACCTGGTTTGTAGCACACCATCCAGAATGTCAGTGTGATCCCTAAGTCTGTCCTGAGAGTAGCTCTTTCCGGTGAGAGATCAAAGGGTGTAAGAATTGTGGCGGCTGCCTTGGGACTGTGTTAGGAGGGAGTGTGGGGCCAGCAGAAAAGGTGGGGAAGTGCTCGCCTGGCACTGCCTTCCTTTGTTGAGCTGTCCACTCACTCTTCCTTCCAATCCCACAAGGATAAGCTTTTTACAATACTTGCTGAGAGATCTGAGCTCCTGCCCTACTTCTCCTGGAAATTATAGGGTGAGCCGGTGGAAGGGGAAGAGGTGAGCCGTAAACCTTCCATGGAGGTCATAAAGGTCTGCCCATTTTTGGAGCAGTACTGAGCCCTTTGGCCTTTACACAGGTGAGATACTTTGGATCTTATAAGATGACCTTGGTTTTGGATGCAAAATTAGACACAGTCCCACCAGAGGCCACCATCTGAGCTGAGCTGCAGAGACCCCTGGGGACAGGCTTAGAGACTGCCATCCTGCAGAGCTCCAGATATTCTGACAGTTTTCCGCAAGTCATTCTCCTCCCAACTCATCCCGGATACCCTGTCAGATCCCTGAAGGAGAAGTTAAAGCTTTAGAAATGGCCTAATTTCCTCACGTTTTGTGAAAACTTTTAGCCAACCCTCTACCTTCTGGTCATTCAGTCTTTAGCTTATTCAGTGAATAATTGTTGAGGACCTAGCTGCCAGCTAGGTTCTGGGGGATAGCTCCTGCCTTCATGAAAATGACAGTCTAGAAAGGGAGCAGGTACTAAACAAGTAAACAAATCAATAAGATAATTACAGATTGTTGTAAGTCCCATGAGGGAAATAAACAGGATAAATGAGATGGTAAGTGGGAGAGGCCCTTCTGTAGGGGAAAGACCTATCTGCAGAAAGGACATCTGAGCTGAGACCTCCAGGAGGAAAGGAGTGGCCATTGGAAGAGCTAGAGGAAGGCAGTCCATGCAGAGGGCATATGGAGACATGGCAGGTGGGCAGGGGGAGAAGTCCTCGGGAGCTTCAGGAGGAGAGGCCATGGCCAGAGAGCAGTGAGGATTCGGGAGGAGTTCACAGGAGGCAGGAGCTAGAATGTGTAGGGCCTGTGGTCAGAGTTTAGGTTTTATTCTGAGAGCAATGGAAAGCCACTGACTGTGTTAAGCAAAAGTGGTAACCTGATTAAAGATCACTGTGTACTCACTGCCACGTTGTTTGTAATAGCAGATTAGAAACAAATTCCACTAATGTGGGTCCGGGTCACTATAAGGAAGTTCATCCCAATGCCCTGCAGCAGGTCTGTATGTACTGCCAGAGAAAGATTCGCAAGATACCCTAAGAAGGAAAAAAAAAACAAGAAACAGAATACAGTATAAAATATGCTGCCACTATATTTTACAATGTTATATATATATGTGTATAGGCTTGCCTGTGCATAAAATCCCACGTTAAGGATATGCAGGGAGGGGCCTCTGGGTGGCTCAGTTGGTTGAGAGTCCAACTTCAACTCAGGTCTTGATTTCATGGCCTGTGGGTTCAAGCCCCACATCGGGCTCTGTGCTGACAACTCGGAGCCCGGAGCCTGCTTCTGATTCTGTGTCTCCCTTCTGCCCCTCCCCTGTTTGCACACACACACACACTCTCTCTCCCTCTCTCTCTCCTTCTCTCTCTCTCAAAAATAAATATTTTTTTAAAAAGGATACAAAAGGAACTGGTAATGTGTTGCTTCTGGGGAGGGGAACTGAGACACAGGTTGGAAGGGAGGCCTATTCTTCACAGTGTCTCCTTTTGTATGTTCGAATATATTGGTATGCCTTTGTTCTATATTCAGCAAAAAAAAAAGGTAGCATGTCTAAATTGTGGTCACTTTGGTTGCTGTGTGGAGAGGGCACATTGAGAGATGGTGGTGGCTTGACCATGAGGTTGGTAATGGGGATGGAGAGAAATGGGTGAATTCAGGATCTACTTTAGAGGCAGAGGCAGCTGGACTCTGTGTATTCCACACTGGCTTTCCCTGCTCCACCTTGTTCAGGAAAGCTCTGTGCTTTGAGATAGGAACTGGGCTTACCTGACTGTACTCTGACTTCTGTGATGTCTTTGTGGAAGGAAGAGTTACTGGGCTCCTTCTAGGTGCTAAGAGCCTCAGAACTCTAGAGACTATCTAACGCATCACAATATGGAGGACATCTTACAGACATGTGCCTGTTTTGTATCCTCATTCACCTTATAGATGACTTTTCAAAAGTAATCTCTAGGCCCAACATATGGCTTGAACACTAGACCCTGAGATCAAGAGTCATATTCTCTACCAACTGAGCCAGCCAGGTGCCCCTAGATCGTCTTTAATGACACTCAAAACAAAGTTACACTGAGAAGCACTATGGTTTCTCAATGGAGCTTGCTTTCTTTGCAGAGAGATGCCAAAGGCCAGTACCTGTTTGACCTTCTTTGCCACCACCTGAACCTTCTTGAGAAAGACTACTTTGGGATCCGCTTTGTGGACCCAGATAAGCAGCGGGTAAGTCAATATTCCAAGCACAAATGGAGAAGAGGGTTTGTCAGTAGCCTGAGTCCTTGAACGGCCACTCGTGCTCGTGACTTAAGCCTCAGGAGTCTGGGACCAACCAGGCCCTATAGTTGGGTGTCATCTCTTCAGATCATGGTATGAGATATGGAAGCTCACCTTGTGTGGCATGTTGTTTCACACATGCTGAAATGGCAGCCCAGGGGGCTGAAGTGATTTGCCCAAAGTTGTCCAGTTGGAGGCAGAGCAGCAGGGCTGGGGTCATGATCTTGGAGCACAGGTCACAGGCTGAGCCTCTCCTTCCTGCTTTCTAGTAAATGAGCTGAGCCACACTGTCCCAGTTAGGAAGGGCCTCACCTAAAGTGCCACGCCAACCCGGTGTGGGCAGGACAGAGAGGGAACTGAACTGATGTGGACCTTCCAGCGCCTTGCAAATGCTGCAGTTCTCATTCTGTTCCACACAACATACATGGCTCTGTAGACACAGGGCACATTCCAGACAGATAGGAAACCAGGTCCATTACTCCCAGGCCCCAACCTCCCTCTCCAGCTTCACATCCCCTGATCTGTCTCCTCATGCTGTGGCTCCTCAGATGCCATCCTCTCTTTACAGGGCCTTCACCTGTACAGTCCCCCTGCCTGGAACCTTTCTTCTCCCTGGCCTCAGTTCTCCACACTCCACACTTTTCTTCTGGCTAATTCCTCACATGTAATGTCTCAGCTTAGACTCTCACTTCTTCCAGGTATTCTTCCCTAATCAACACTCTGAACGAGGGGCCCCTCCTATGTGCCCCCATGTACCATGTACTACCCCTATTGTAGCGCTTACACCATGCTGTGGCTGCCTGTTTGATTACCTGTGTTCCCTGCAAAAATGTAAGCCCTGTGAGTGTGGGGACTTTCTCTCATCATGACTATATCCCATAGAACTAGTACAGGGCCTAGAATGTAGTGGATGCTCAGTAAATATTTGCTGAAGGAATGATGAGTGGATGGGAAATAGTTCATAATGCCAAATATTTCCCTCCACTTGCCCAGCTGCCTTGCTAGCAGAAACCTGCAGTTCCTCTAACTTCTCTTCATCAGCCCTTTCCCTGCTGTCGGTGTATATTCTCTGGCACCCCCCTTGAAGTGGGAAAGTATGCAGAAGCATCACCCTTCACTGTACCCCCGCCCACCCCCTAACCTGGGCTACCATCCTCCAAAGACATTATCAACATGAATATGAAAGGCCCCCCCTTTTCATGGGTCCACTGAATTCTTCACAGTTCCAAACATGGGCTCCATCTCTGTTGTCACGGGGGGCCTTAGAGCCCCAGAAGGCGCAGCTCCCCAGCAGTGCCCAGGACCCAAGATAACGAATGAATGGATCCACCCCTCCCCATGCCAGAGTCAAGTGCTATTTTCTTTAATGCTTTGAGCCTCCGTGTCTCCAGGTCATATTTAGAATTTTATACTGAACACATTAGCTTAAGGAAAGAATCCAAAGGACTGTATTCATTTCTTTCAATAAGCCCTGCTCTCCTCGCTGACGTATTTTGGTCCTCCTGGCTCTGCAGAATTCTGAGCATCACCAGTGTTTAGGAAATAGTGTCAACGTCAGCCCCTCTCCATATAAGGCTCTACTGTCTTGACCTAAATACTGTCCTGAGGTCTGGGCAATAGTATAAGACACCAAAAGTGCCATGACCCCAAGATGTTACATGCCCTCACATGCTTTGGGTGTCCATTCACTATATAATAATGGGCTGTTTTTACAAGAAGCTTTCTTGTTGTTTTGTTTTTGTTTTTGGTCTGAGGTGTTTCTCCTTAAGAAGGAAGGCCAGTTACCCCAAGTTTTCTTCTCCCAAAGAGAGCAGCTTATGAAGAAAAAAGGACAAAATGTATCATGCTCATTATTTTCTAGTTAGGTCAGAATGTGCTTGAGAAGCATAAGAAAGCATATGGAAGTAATAAAGATCAAAAGCAGGAGGAGGTAGAGAACTATGAAGAAATGTGGAAGAGGAGAAATAAACATGTATGGAGTGGCGACTGTGTGCAGAGCTCTGCACTGAGCACAAACCTAGGTCTTTCAGCTGATGTATACTGAGCACCGAGTTGTAACAGGCACTGAGCTAAGAGCTTCACATATGTCCTTTAATCCTTAACACAGATGAGTATCCACATTTCAGATATCCATTCTCTGAATGAGTAAATAAAAAGTTACCAGGTTAAATAACTTGTCCAAGGCAGATGGCAATGCCAGTCTCCAGCTCAGAGCTGTCTGATGCCAGAGTCTATGTGGCTTCTAAGGGTCCGTGCTGAATTCATCATACCTGGTAGTTTCTGAAGTTGTGTGATTGCTCAGGAGTTAAGGCTTGAGAGAGCACTTGAGAGTTGTGGGAAAATTGTCATTCTAGATCTACTGACCCGTGGTAGAGACAGAGCGGGTAAGGTCCCCACTCCCCTAGGGTGTGAGGTCCTAAAATAAACCTCCTCCCCTTGAGCACCAGAAACCAAGCTCACATTGACCCCATCACTGCTTGTTCTTCAGGAGCCCCCATGCGGGTCTGGGTATTCTCCTGGTCCCCCATGGAGGAGATGCCCTCACTCCCCTTTTCCCCTGTTCCTGGCTCAGGCCCAGGGCTCCAGCCCGTTTTCAGCCTCTCCTTTCAAGGTGGAGGCACCCTTTCAAGCCTCCAGAGCCTGCAGAGGACTGCACATTGTCCCAGTGACCCAAATACAGACAGAAGCTCCCCTCTGAACTTTTCTTTTCTCTTCTCCTGACCCTTGCTCCCCAGACTCATGTTATCTGTGGGTTTGCCAGTGATTCTGGGATCCAGATTTAGCCAGAGTTCTGCAAAAGGTAACTGTGGCCATCATGATATTTTTGGAATCATGATTTCTCTGATTTCTCTACCAGACCCTCAAAAGCTCTTGGACAAGCTGTGAGGGCTTTCCCCTCCCCTCTGACCCCTCTCCCGTCTCCTCCAGCCTCTTCTTTCTGGAGCCCTCACTGCAGTACAGACCAAAGTCCTCCTCAGCTCATGCCAAGAGGAATAGCCTTTTTGTCATTCAGCTCCACCTGTCTTCTGCTGAGAGTGCATCTCACAGCCTTTCCTTGTAGTTTCTGTCTTCCTTTGTTTCTTTATTTTAATCTATCAGTCGGGTACCCGGGGGCATTCTGTTTACTGAGCCCCAGACACTTGCTGTGCTCTCCTCGCTGTACACAATTCTGATGTGCTCCAGTCAGACAGGCCTCCTCTGCCTTTATAGGTTCAGCCTGGAACCCCAGTTGTTTCCGTGCAATTTCATTTCTTGCCTTTGCTTCCCTGTGAAGCCGAGCCGCGGTGGGCTGTGTAATGTGAGAAGGACCTCTTAACCACATTGAGTGGCTATAATGAGTTGCCAGCCTCGTGGGAGCTCAGATCAGAGGAAGCAAGAGAGCAGAATGTCAGCCCAGATTATCCATGTGGAGCTGACGGAAGAACTGGCTCTTAGTGGGTCCATTAACTGCATGACCCACAGCCCAGCCCAGAAGGTGAGAGCTGGGAATCGCAGGAAGCCAGGATGCTGTCTGCATGGCCCTGGCTGCTTTCCTGCCAGAAGGAGGACTCTGCCAAGATGTTACGCTAAATAGAAGTAGCCAGAAGAGAGGGAGGTGTGGACTGGCTTCCACTGTCCATTTGACAGTTATACATTGAACACTATCCTAGGCATCAGTGAGTGACACAGTCTTCTGCCTTCCCAGAGCTTAAAGCTAAAGGTTTCAATCTACTTCCAGATAATCAAATCCCAAGTAACAGCAGTCATCACTCTCTGCAAACTGTCAAGTTTCCTGATTAGCATAAAGGCAACAAGCATCAATAATGCATTGTGTAAAGTATCCATGTAGAACTGGGAAATAGATAGAGAATGGTCTCACTGCTTCCTTCCCGCAAACATTAAGTTCCATGGGGGAAAAGTGTATTTCTACTATATGCTGCCTCTACGAAAATCCAAAGGAAGCACAGTACTATCCTACACATTGGTTGTGGTTAGTTATCTTATGAGACTGAGACTTTAAACATCCCTGGATGCCAAGGAATCCTGAGTATGTATGCTCTAACACAAGGGCTGGCAAGATGTTGCTCAAAGATGGAGTATACACCAGCCATCCCTGCCTTCTCACCATGTATGAAATTCCACCTGTTAATACTTTCTAGAGCTATGACCAACAGCCTCTGTCACCACCACCACCCCTGCCAAAAAATAGCTGACACACAACACACACACGCACAACCCACTGAAGTCAGCATTTCCCTGTCCAAGCCAGGTGGGGCTTTGTCCCCACTACACATACATGCGTTCACTTGTGCCTACTGGTGTGCCAGAAATATGGCTCAGAGCTTTGGCACCCTGCTTTCGAAGGCAGCATTGCCGGGGAGGCCCAGAAATGGCATCTGAAGCTGGAACTCTTCCCCCTTCACAGCTGCTTCCATAGGGAGCTTACTTCATAAAATCCTATCACCCTCTGCTCTCCAAGCCTACATATCACAAGCTTTTGTGCTGCTTTCACCCTGGGCTACAATCTGTCCAGTTATTGAAACTGGGTAAAACAAGTTATAGTTGACACTG